GCGTCGGTCGGTAGCGACGGCCCGGTTAATAACGGAGCCGGCAGGGAGGCCGAGCGGCCCGGTAAATCGCTAACCTTTCGCGGTCTCGCCCGTTTCTGCTTACTCTGAAACGTTTCTCCGTTTGATCCGGTCGCGTGGTAGCGAGTCGCGCGACGCGGACGATCGATCGGCCGATCGAACCCACGTAAGAACGCACGAACGAGCAGCGAAGGAACGAGCGTCGACCCAGTCGAGAGAACGCGCCAAGGGGAGAGACTCGTCGTTTCCTTCTCTTTCGCTGGGTCTCGGGGGGTACGGTACCGAGTTGGAGAACCAATACCCTTCGACGGACAAGTATAGGCCTCGGCTAGCGACTGCACGCGCTCGTCCGCGGAAGAGCCGATCTCTCTTCAGTAGAGAGAACGGAACCTTCTCCCCTCTCCGCCCCACGAGTCCTCTAACCGTCTCGCTTCTTCTCCCCTCCTTGCTTCGACCTTCTCGCTTCTCTTCTCTTCTTTCCTCTTCTCTTCTCTTCTCTTCTCTTCTCTGCTCTTTGCTCTGCTCTGCTCTTCTCTGCTCTTCTCTTCTCTTCTCTTCTCTTCTTTTCCTTTCCTTTCCGTTTTCTCCGCTTCTTCGCTGATCCATGCGACCAGCTCGTTTCCCCTCGGTCCGGCGGATCCCTCCGATAGAACCTCGCTCCGCCCCACTGATCGTGCAACTCCTGCCCTTTCTTCTTTTACGTGCCCGTTCTCGAACAACCTTCCTCTTTCTCCGTTTCGACTTTTATTTATCCTCCTCTCTTGCTCCACTACCGACCACCTTCCCGCTCCTTTCCCTCGCGAATTCTACTCCAGATTCGTTTTCCATTCAACGAAGAGGATCTTCCGTCGTACGCGTCGGAACATCGAGGTCGTTTTGCCCGGAGATTTCGCGCGATAGAAAGTTGTGGAGGAAACGGAAGAGGGACGCTGACAGATTCTACCCGATGAACTGTTCTCCGCTGATCGTAGACGAGCACGTGGCTTTGAAGGGAAAATGGTGGGCGGTCTTAACGAAAGTCACGCCTCTCGGCATCCCCACCGCGTTCCTCGTGGTCATCGCGCAAGGAACTCTCGTCGATGCTCTCCCACTCTCCGAAAACCTACCCGGATATCGCGCTCTCTCTCTCTTCTCTCGTTCGCGCGTCTGCTTCTCTTTCTTCGTCCCTCGGCCGTTCGACGCGTCTCTCCTTTCTCCTACTTTTTTTCCATTCATCCGTCGAGCGGTTCCTTCCTCGTTCCTCTTTGCCCTCGCGTTGCTCTCCGTCGCGCCGCGGATCGCCGTTTCCGTCTCCCTTCCTACGAACGTCGAGGGACGACGTCGCGGAGAATGCACGAATCGAAAGGTGGTGGTGCACATGCGTGTGTGGGAACTCGGTTCGGAATGCGAGAGTCGAAGCGAGCGTAGCCATGGAACCGCGCCGGGACGAGGAGCTTTTTCCTCTCGCGACCGCGAATTCCTATTCCTGGTCGTCGGAAAACCGCGAAATTCGAAAGCGCGCGGATTCGCGGCTGGAAAACGAAAGCAGCGTCGAAAGAAAGGCAGCGGGGGAGGCGAGGAGAAGGAAAGGATCGCGACGAACGCGAGGAGGAGAAAAAGGGCAATTTACGGGGACGCGTAAAAAGATCGGAGCGAGGGATATTCGGGAACGAGGTCAGAACAGTGGTCGCGAGATCCCGGCGAAGAGTTACGGAGATTGATCGACGTAAATCGTCGCGGCGACGAGGGCGCAATTACGTTTTTGTCGGCGCGCGTACGCTCGATCCTGTCCTCGGAATCGCGCTTGAAAACGCGAGTAGAGGAAGACGCGAAGAGGTCGAGCTTGTCTCCGCTTTGCCCGACAAAATCACGGAGGCAATTATACGCGAAGAATGCGAGCGTACGCTCCCGCGAAACCTTTTCTCTCCTCGGATCCGCTCGTTCTTCTTTCGCTCGCTGACGGCTGAAAATTGATCGCCCTGCCGCCGCGCGATAAAACCCCTCGAGGAACGATCAAATGTTTGCTGGATTCTTCTCTCCGCTGTCTTTGTCCGTGATAACGAACCTCTTCGAAACGCTAATTAGACGTTAACGAAACTTTGAAAACGTATATCTCCCTTAGCAGCGTGCGAACTCTATGTCAAATCGGTGTTCCTTCACCGAATCGAGAAACGAATCGCCCGACACTCTCGATATCGTCTACGATCTTCTAATTCTCGCTAATGATCGTCGAAATTCCTTCGACGTCGCGTCGAAGTAATGACGCGAGGAATAAGTTGTTGGAAGGAGCAAGATCTGGCGGGAGCGAAGGGCTCGCGTGACGGACGGTGCGTCCGTCGATTACTTGCTCGGCTCGACGCTTACGGTAATGACTTAATGTCGACGAGTTCTACGATGTTGTACGACCGCGTTTTTCCACGTTCCACGGCAAAAATCGTCCGCTCGTTCCGCGTACGTGGCGTACACACCTGGTCCCTGAGCTTCGACGAAAATAAGCGTAGCTGCGAGTCGTAGTCTCTTGCACAGAAAAATAAAAATATATGCGCTATCCTTATCTCTCTTTTAATTTTCGTTTAGAGGCTCATCGGTACACGACGAGTCTGGTTAAGGACAAACTTTTACGTTTTATGTTCAAATTTCTCCTAATATCACCGGTTTAATCTGTCGGAGAAAAGTTGGAGCATCGTAAAGGAAGAAGATGGTGGACGACGGAGCTGAACGAACCGAAAAGCAGAGGCGAACCGAGGCGAGAGCGAGGTGGCTCGTAAATCTAAAGACCGTGTTCAGAAGGAAGGAGGTTGAATAGGTGTAAATGAAGTTGCGGCCTGTGGCCCGCCGCAAACTCGACCGGACCACCCCGCATATTTTGTCTCCCGTGCGTGCTGGACCCGCAACAGCCTCCAATCCTGTTCGCAAAACGCTAGCACGACTTCTAAAGAAAGAGCACCATACCCTACGTCTTTATTTCCCTCGAGAGAGCGCTTGTTAGTACACGCTCTAGTGCAATACGAGCTTCCTTTGGCTCAGAATCATTGCGCAGGAAGAAGCTTACTTAGAGCTTATCTAGATACTTTTCTCGAGTTTACACGGATTCCGGACATTCGAAAAGACGATTTGATTTCGAAGCTTTAGGCCAGGTAATCCGATTTCACGGTCGGCACTGACGCGAGTATACGCGTGAAATCGATCTTTATCGAATTCAGCAGACCTCGCGAACTACTCGACAAAGAATTGCCACTGACGGCAGGTGGTTCCTTCCTCCACGAATTCTCTTCTTCGTGGAGGTCTCGAGACCCAACGGGCGGCTTTCCACCGAGGGATGGGGATCAGCTTAATATAGGTTAACGTTCATCCTCATTAACTAACCGAATAAAGAGACTACAATGCCGAGGATTCGTTTTGTTTCGGACGATCCTGTTCGGCTCCCTTTCAACGATTTTTCCAAAGCCTTTCTATCCCGTCTGTCCTTGCGAAAGATTATCGGGTATTACTGGAAATATACACGCGTCGTTCACGAGCAAAACAGGAAAATGGTTACGGAGAAACTTCTATTATTCGGACTAATAGCTACTCGAAGTTACATTTTCTAAATTCAAATTTGCATTTATGTCGCAAACGAAGTAATGAAATATTTTAAAGTCGAAGAAAAAAACAAATTCCTTACAGAACCTAAAATTAAGTTTAAACGATCGCCGTTTCACGTTGCGATAATTATAACCGATCGTTCGATCAACCGGTATTTGTATAATCGACGTTCTACTTAATTCCTGTACGGACGATCGCGATAGAAAAAATTGGAAGGAGCCGACTTGGTCGGACGATGGGCAGAGAAGAAGTCCTCTTTGGCTGGAATTCCAAAGTCCGGTCGAGAGGATCGATACAAAAACGCGAGCATCGTTGCTTGGACACACGGAATCGTCGAACAGTTTCTGTCCGATTCAGCGAAAAGACTCGTGTACACGGCAGGATCGTTGTTAAGGTTCGGAATCGTTTCGGTGTGCGTGATGACCGTCTACGACCACCCGGGACACCTACCGGAGGATTTCTGGGCGGGGTGCGAACGCGTCGGAGGACATCAAAGGACCCCGCGAGAGCTAATTATTGTTTCTCGATGCCGGCCAAGCGGAACCGTGAACACGGTGGCGCCTGCACGATAGGCGCTGCCATTCTCACCCCTCTCTCTCTCGTTTCGCTTCTTCTTCTCTTTCTTCTTCTTCTTCTTTTCCTTCATCTGGCTCTTCTGTTTCCAGCTACGATCGTGACAGTCAGCTTTCTTCGAACGATCGAGCCAGGCGATGGAAAGAAGAAGGATCAACCTGCTGCTTTCCCGAGCATTCCACCGACCACCCTTAATTAAGAGAACGCCATTCGACTCACCGTCGATTATCCACGGTCCCGCATTCCGAGATCTCGCAAGGTCGTCGTTCTTCGATCGATTTACTCGAGCTCGACGCGAATTTCGTTGCCGTTTCTTTCATTGCCAGTCGCGCGCTACGATCTGGATACTCAGCCTTGATCAATCGATCCTTCGAGTAATTTCCTTTTTTGTTAACGCGACGTTTAAATTTTCTTTCCCCCTTTTGCCCTCGTATATCCATCGATTCCCGTTCGATTTATTACCCGACGTTTACCTTCGTCACGGAAGAACGTTTGCAAAGATGAAAGCGATAAAATGAATCGCAGACTTTATTGTCAATA